GATTATATTGCAAGATCTGCATGGGAAACCTACTGAGTACAAAGAGTATGCGAACTAGCACAACTAATGTAAGTTCACCGTTGCCACAACTAGCAAAGGGAAGGTGAGCGCATGCACTCATTTGTATACGGAAAAAAACACCTCCGCATAAGAAGTTTTTCAGTCTTTCTTGTTTTTTTCTCTTTGATTATACTCTAAGACCAATAGCTAATTATCTCCTGCAGAACATAGTACTTGATATATTCATTTTTTATCTTTGTATACTTTTTGCCTTAACTCTCTTTTCTCTATCATTATGTAAATCTTTTCCCTTGACTTTATTTTTTTTTGTATAGTAACAACCTGTCTGAAGAAATACTGCTTTTCAATAGAGTGATTAAAATGGATTGCATAATCTTTACCAAGTAATTTTGTGTGAGAACAATTTCCTAGTGCATTGCCTAACAAGTTCTAATGGAAAAGCTGAGCTTGACATGAGATTTGCCTATTGGGTCCCAAAGTGGGACTTTTCCTTAGCTCTTAAAAAAAATTTATCCAGCGAAACATCCATGTGTCACTTCCATGAAATGAGTTTTATTTTATGACTTATAATAATACATTTCTCCCTTTCTTCAAATGCACATTAACTATTACTTTTTAAAAAACATATATTGCTCAAGGCTGGTTCATACCTGTAAATAAGTGTTTTGTGATTGTAGCACGAAGCAGATTGAACCGAACTAAATTGAGGGGTTCTTTGATGCCATGGAAATGACAGTCCATTGACAAGGTGGCACTGTTCCTCTGAAGCCCCCCTTGTTTTTCACTAGTGCAATATGTATTGCCAATAGGGACCAAAAGGAGGACATTTCAGGCATGTGTTGTGGTAGCATAATATCAGGGGTGGGCTGCTGGGGGTTCACAGGGGTTCGGGAGAACCTGTAGCTAAGATTCTATGCAGTTTGGAGAATCCCCAAATCCGACTCCTGGCTGGCCCCACCCACTCCACCCCACCCCTCCCAGGAGTCCCCAAGCGGCCCGTTTTGGATGCAGGTAAGTGCAGGGCGTGCATGGAGGATTGGGGAGGGCAAAAAACGAGCCTACCAGAAGTTCAGGAAGACCAAACACGGGCCAGTTTCTGACCTCCAGAAGGCCTCCGGAGCCTGGGGAGGCTGTTTTCGCCCTCCCAGAGGCTCGAGGAAAGCCTTCGGAGCCCGGGGAGGGCAAACCCCCCCCCATGGTGCAGGAGGCCAACTAGGCCACGCCCACCCTGACCATGCCCACCCAGCAATCGAGCAGAGAACCCCTTGCTAAAATTTTTGAAGCTTACCCCTGCATAATATCCACAGGATTCAAAGTCTCTCTGACATATCTATGAAGTCCCCAAACAATGCTATCCTACCTAATCTTCCTGATCCTGGTGAGCTGGGTTGCAGGCACAGGCATCCTGGGTTTAGTAAGGCAGGGAGTAGGCTAAGGCTGCAACAGGTTTCCGCATCCCAGTTGGCCCTGTAGCCAACTGAGGTCATGTGGACCACAGCAGGTTTATGCATACCAGTGGGCCCAGTGGCTGGCCAAGGCCTCCCAGTTTCCACACTGGGCATTGTAGCCTGTGATGGGCCTTCCAGGGTCTCCCCCACTCTCCTGAGGTATCAACATACTCCTTATCTCAAATTTCATTGGCCTAAGACCCACAAGATCACATAACCATATCCGGGTGCCAGGATTGCAGTTGTTCAGAGAAGCGGTCATGTGACATCTTGCTTCATAACTGCTTCACTCAATGACTCAGATTTTTGATTGGGTTGCCTAGAATTGGTTAGAACAGTGGTCCTCAACCTTTCCAACTTTGAGGACCGGTGGTGAGGGGGAAGAGGGGAAGTCATGCACAGCTCCATTTGTGCAAGTGGCCGGCATGTGCGCCTGCCACTTGCACAAATAGAGTTGTGCACATGCGTGCTTTCCCACTCCTTACACAAGTGGAACAGTGCATGCACACAAGCATGCACACGCTCACCTGCTGCTTGTGCAAGTGGAGCTGTGGCCTGATATTAAATGGGGTGTGGCCCGGGGATCGGGGACTTCTGAATTAGAAGATGGGGGTCAACATAAATGTTTTAAATAAATAAATTCCAGTCCCAATTGTGGACATAAGTTAAGGAGTACCTGTACTGTGTTATGTTAAGCACAATGTATAATATATTTCATTTGTAGGAGCTGCTGGAGCATTTAAGGTTGAAGCAACTAAACTTTGAAACAAATGTGCTCTCTTTTCAGAGGGAAAGGGTAGAGTCCGTTAAAAGGGTTCAGAAGGTTTCTGTATCATCAACATTTTGAATTTTTTTACATGTGTTCATATCTTAAAGAGGGCAATAAATCTCAGCTTCAGTTTACTTATCCCAATTGTTATAGGTATAATAAAGCTACAGCAGCTGGTAGAACCATAAAATGATGTCAAATCGTATTTCTGCAGTCACTGCTGCAATAGTCAAGTCTATTTAAATAACTGCCAAGTAAATAATAAATAGCAAATAACCTTTTCCATACCACATGAAAGAAGGAACATAATGTAATATCAAAAGAGAATGAACTTATTGTCTCTTTATCAGTAAAAAAAGTGTTACACAAGTTAAGACCTGATTACTTCTGCTACTTTTTCTTCATACTTTGTGAAACTTGTAGATGTGTAAAAGCTGTGAATTATACACATTATAATTCAATTATACAATCGTAAATATAATTATACAAATTATAAATTTGCAGAGAAATCCTCCAGTTAAATGTTGTATGCTGGAAAACTGCAATTATTTTGTGGTGAAGTCAAATTTGCATCTGATATCTGGGAGCAAAGAATATGCCTGAAGTTACACCACATTGTCAACATCTGATTTCCAAAAACAAAAAATTGTGAAACAGGTTTTAGACACATTTGTAAATCTCTGCAGGAAGATTCTAATTACATCCTTTTGGTAAACAGCGACAAAAAGGTAATAATTTTAAACCTGAGTAATATTTTTAATAAGCCATCTCTGTAATGTTGGATTGGTCTAGGATATTGTGAGTTTTTCTGTAAAATTGACAGGAATTTTATAGAGATCATACATTTAGAAATATGTCCAACCTCCTTAGGATAATACAAAGGATAATCTTAGGCATTGCAGAAAAGCGATGCAGAAGTACATTGCATGCAGGAATATCTGCAAGGAATGGTCAAATGAGTCAGGATGGCAGATGTTGACTTCAAGGAAGAAGGAGGGGCCTTGGGAAAGATGGCCGAAGCAAATAAAAATTTAACATACAAAATTTATAATCTTAACCTCCATACTAAAACTTGCTTCAAGCACAAGTCAACACTGAGGCAGCAAAGATAGAGCTGATTTGGTCAAATTCTATTGTCCACATGCTCTGATCGGCAGTAAGCTCCCCCCCCTCTTATTCAGTTGCAATCTCTTCTGGTCATTTAAATCTATTATTTTGCATTTTTAATCTAGTACAAGAGTACTCTGTAATCTTAATTTTTTTCTGTGTGACATATTTTTAGATATTTGAATAGTACTGTCATATTCTATCTGTGTCTTTTCTTCTGACAGTTTAGTGTTCCTAATTCCTTCAGGCTTTTCTAAAGCTCTTAAAGACCAAGGTAAGCGTATATGAGAGAATGCTGGCTTTTAAACCAGCAATGATTGGTGTCTAGCAATGAGCTTGAAGACAGGGTTGCAAACCTCTCTAAAACAACTCCAATCAATAATCTGGCATAGCATTGCAATCCAATTTTTCTATGGTAGCCCTCAGATTGTGGTAGAGAAGTCTAAACCAGAGATAAAGTAATTAAGATATGCAAACTTTAAACACATTGAAATTTTCTAGGCATGAGCCCACCACCCAGAGCCTCTTCCTGAGGGAGACGGGTGGTTAAGAAGTGTGAAACATGAATAAATAAATTAATAATTGTTCTGAGCCTAAACTTTGAAACTCATGCCCTTTGGGTATCTTTGAAGCCATCTCATCCCAATGAGGGATTAGCCTACCCCAGTGGTGAAATCCAATTTTTTTTACTACCGGTTCTGTGGGTGTGGCTTGGTGGACATGGCTTGGTGGGCGTGGGAGGGGAAGGATACTGCAAAATCTCCATTCCCACCCCACTCCAGGGGAAGGATACTGCAAAATCTCCATTCCCACCCCACTCTGGAGCCAATCAGAGGTGGTATTTGCTGGTTCTCCGAACTACTCAAAATTTCCACTACTGCTTCTCCGAACTGCTCAAAATTTCCACTACCGGTTCTCCAGAACCTGTCAGAACCTGCTGGATTTCACCCCTGGCCTGCCCCACTCATTCCAGCAGTAAGAGCCTACTCTGGATCTTGTCTGCCAAATAATTGTGGTTGGCAGAGTCTAGGAGAAGAACCTTTTCAGCTGTGGCCCCGCTTCTGGAATATTCTCCCGTTGGCACTGAGGTTCACCCCCACATTCCTGGCTTTCTGGAAGAGTCTGAAAATTTGGCTCTTCTGCTTTGCCTGGGATCCCGACAGGGCCTGCTATATTGGGGGTGGCTGACTGGGTAGAAAAGATGCCCGTTCCCAGACTACCTATCATTTTATATTTTAGCTTTTTTTATATAATTCCTTTATTTTAATTGTCTGACTTATTTTTACTGTTTACCATATTATTAGCCGTCCAGAGTCACTATCAGTGAGATGGGGTAGGAGCATAAAATTAAATAAATAATAAAACAAATGTTCCTGCTCATTGCTGAAATCTAGCTGTCCTTGTTTAAAGATGAATCCAGTACTAAGTTCAAACTATGAGCTTGACTTTTCAAATACAACTCTATCCAAGTACAAGTATATATTTAAAGTAAGTCCTGTTGCCATAACTCAACTTTCAGACAACCTGGATGACAGAGAACCTTCATTGATATATCAGATGAGTAACAGTGTTTAGGATTCTGATGACTTTGCCCTTACAATTTTCATTGGACAAACAATAATGTTAGAAAATAACACAAGTGAACTCAACAGTACCTTCCCGTATCTGGAGGCAAAAGTTCCCGTGAGTAAGGAGTGAAAAATAATTATCGTCTCGTCCAAGTCCCATACAAACACACGCTGTCATAGAAAACAGAGGGATGGAAAAATAGAGAAAAATACACCAATTACTGGCAGAAATACACTAATTTTGGATTACATAACTATGTAAAGAAGAACATCTTTGCTTCCTCTCAGTGATCTTGCTTGTGTGGGGCATTACCTCAGCTATTTGAAGATTTCCTGTTCCTAAAATATCTCACCCTTTTCTTCTTATACCTTCCTCTTGCTGTCAGAGTCCTAGAAGAATGCTTCCTTGAGATGCCACCCTTATTTATTTTAAACTGCTCCAAAAGACTAAGCCCAAACAAACAAAAACAACCTTTTTAAAAAAGTAATTAAAACAATTTCCTAGTCTCAATCTACTATTATAGAGCTGTGGTGGCGCAGTGATTAGAATGCAGTACTGCAGAGCTAACTCACTGCTCAATTCTGAGCGGCTCAAGGTTGACTCAGCCTTCCATCCTTCCGAGGTCGGTAAAATGAGGACCCAAATTGTTGGGGGCAATATGCTGACTCTGTAAACCGCTTAGAGGGGGCTGTAAAGCACTGTGAAGTGGTATATAGGTCTAAGTGCTATTGCTATTATAACTGCAATAATGCTTCTGAAATTTTCACCTTTTTTTCCTTGTCTATATTTTCCCTTCATCTTCCCTCTGATTTTTACTGTGACTATTTTAAAGCATTAGCCCCTTTGAATATTGAATGTCACATCAATAAATAATGTATCGCTTTTTAAAAAAATCACTTGAGGCTTAAATTAGATGCATTCCTTTCTCTTTCATTTAAAACAAAAAGGTGAAGACAAGGGCTGCTATCAAATATGTTTCGGATCCCAGTGCAATGCTCATGGTCTCCACCAAATTAATAAGCATCTCATTTGATGTTTGCCACCATCCTTCCCATAAATTTTAATGAATTCCTTTTCAATTGCAATATTAGCATGATATAAAGCAAAGCATGGCTCTCTAGTGCAAAGTCATCCTTAGAAATAAAAATACTACACTGAGAAAAGCTGTCCAGAACAAGAAAAACTGGCCTTTAGTCATATGAAGTTATTCATATATACTTTAGGTGTTTGAAGGCTGAAAATGATTTAAGCATCAAAGAAAGGGGGTAAGCAACCTTTATTACTCTTACCTCAATATCAGTGTCTCCTGCCGGGGATGGGTCACTGCTTCTTTTTGATCGTCCTCGTAGTTTTCCGTCAGTTCCCCTGTGCTGTCTGTCAGATTCTATGCCTTTTACCGGTGTTGTATATTCACCTATAACAGGAATCTGACTTAAAGCAACATCCTAAGTTATTATTCTTAGGCTGTTTCAACAGAGTGCCCAAAATATCAAAGCAACATTCATTCTAACAGCAGAAATTACAGACATAAGTTCGTAAAATAGTTCTGATTTTTTTTCTCTGTTGCAAAGGGATGAAAAAGTTGTATTTTTCTGCCAATTCTTTAGCTTTTCTTATTATTTCTCAGCATATAGATAACTATCAGTGAATGACCAAGTCTTTGTTTATACTTTGTGATGTTAGCCTGGTATCATCATTACCATAATACAGAGACCACTGTGTAGTTTGCAAATAATGCAGTGTTTCCCTGAAAATAAGACATGCCCTGAAAATAAGCCCTCCCTCTGAAAATAAGCCCTCCCCAAAAATAAGCCCTCCCCTGAAAATAAGCCCTCCCCTGAAAATAAGCCCTCCCTCTGAAAATAAGCCCTTCCCTGAAAAAAGCCCTCCCCGAAAATAAGCCCTCCCCTGAAAATAAGCCCTCCCCTGAAAATATTTAAACGCATCCGCAGCCGGTCCCCGCCATTTCTTCTGGTTAGGGTTAGGGAGACAGAGCTCGAAATCAGGTAAGATGGCAAGAGGAGCCCCATCTTGCTCCACGCACTCCAAAATAATAAGATCTCCCCGAAAATAAGGCCAAGCGCTTATTTCGGGGTTCAAAAAAATATAAGACAGGGTCTTATTTTCGGGGAAATGCAATATCATTATATATTTATAGGTACAGAAATGCATTTTTAAAAGAAATGCAATAATGATTATTTTAGGGAAAATCACAAAAGTAAATGAAAAGTAAATTTTCTTCTGGTTATTTTAAATCACAGAAAAATGTTACAAAAAAATATTTCACATATCGTTATTCTTAAATAGCAAAATTAAGTCCCACTTGCCACTAAAAATAGGATCTGCACCCAAGTCCTGGTTGAAATTAAGGTTTAAGAGATTGATATACAAATTCAATAATGAAAAATACATTTCTAGTTCGAAGCCCTTACCAGGAAGTGATTCAGTGCTCTGACTGCTAACGTTGTGTGATGACTCTTGGACAGAATAAGGTGACGTTGGGATGGTTGATGGGCTAATGTTATTTGCAGACATATATGATGAACTGTAGGAAGAGTTGTAATACTGTGAATACTGGCTTTGTGTGAAGCTGGGATATGAAGAATAGTCCTTTGAAAGAAGAGACATAATTCTAATTATTCTTTTTTTATCTTTATATATATTTTTTGCACTAGTCATCTTTAAACATTTGATTAGATTATAGAATAAAATAAAAAATTACAAAAGCAAATAGGGAGACACAGTGTGGGGCAAAAGGGGAAAGAGAAGTGAAAGTGGGGAGGGAGAAAAGAAAAAAAACCCATTGACTTCTGTCTGTTGCAATAAAATAAAGCATTAACATCGAACCTCAACTTTTTACTTTTCCATAATAATATAAACTAGCCATTTCTATAAAAACAAATCAATCTAATCAGTAAAACCCAAAATCAAAGTTTCATTTTTTTTCCACCTCAAGCACAAAGTCCAGAAGTGGTCTCCATGTAGCAGCAAAAGTACTTATGTTCTTTTCTTTTATCGAAATGGTCAGTTTAGCCATTTCTGACAACTCCAACAGTTTCTGTAGCCATATAATTCTAATTATTCTATGCAAGCAAAACATCCTGTAGGGAGCTAATATAGAAAAGTTGTGCATTTATGGAATAGATTTCTGGGATTTTTATTCTGGTCATCTCTCATAGTTGAAGTACAAATTTAAAGATCTACAGGCTCTCTATGTGTGTGTGGGGTGCAAAAATATATCTAGGGAAGTGGTGGGTTTCAAATTTTTTTACTACTGGTTCTGTGGGTGTGGCTTGGTGGGTGTGGCAGGGAAAGGATACTGTAAAATCTCCATTCCCTCCCTACTCCAGGGGAAGGTTACTGCAAAATCCCCATTTCCTCCCAGCTGGGACTCGGGAGGCAGAGAATAGATGGGGGCAGGGCCAGTCAGAGGCGGCATTTACCGGTTCTCCGAACTACTCAAAATTTCCCCTACCGGTTCTCCAGAACTGGTCAGAACCTGCTGAAACCCACCTCTGATCTAGAGGTTTTTATTCAGCCCATGGGCTGGTGATTGCTCACTCAGGTCTAGAGACAGAGGCAGAGGTTTTCTTCTTGAAATCCTTTTTAATTAGTCTGCCATGGACTAAATCTCACCCCCCCTCCTCCCGAGGAAGCTGCTGTCAAAGCTTATGGAAAAAGAATTTAGGAGTGTAATTCTCAAACATTTTATGTCCCACAGAACTTGAATTTAGCCTTGAATGTTCATTTCAGCATTTGTGTGAAGAAGAAGGAAAAAAGAGGAGTGATTTCATTCTTGGACTACTACATCAATTTAACCAGCAGCCTTCCTTATATAGCCTTTCTAAATATAATGTACTTACACCATTTATTTATAGATATGATTTACACATACAAGAGTGAACATACATAAAAGGTAGCTTGTAAAAGGAAAACAAAATCAGGAAGGTAATTTTCCCTCCCTCTCTGCTTCATACTCACAAAAGTTGCCATGTGATACATTAAAGCTTAAAAAACAAAGCAAAACGGAACCAACCGATGATTACCTAAACAGAATAGAATAGAATTCTTTATTGGCCAAGTGTGATTGGACACACAAGGAATTTGTCTTTGGTGCATGTGCTCTCAGTGTACATATATATATATATATATATTCATCAAGAATCATAAAGTACCACACTTAGTGATAGTCATAGGATACTAATAAGCAATCAAATCATATTAGGAAACGATAAAACAATATAAATTGTAAAGATACGAGCAACATGGTTAAAGCCATAAGTGGGAGAAGATAGGTAATAGGAAGGATGAGAAGAATAATAGTAATACTTAGTAAATTATTTGACAATGTTGTGGGAATTAATTGTTGAGCAGAGTGATGGAGTTCGGGAAAAAATTGTCCTTGTGTCTAGTTGTTCTGGTGTGCAGTGCTCTATAGCGTCGTTTTGAGGGTAGGTGTTGAAACAATTTATGTTCAGGATGTGAGGGGTCTGTAGATATTTTCACAGCCCCCTTTTTGACTCGTGCAGTATACAGGTCCTCAATGGGAGGCAGGTTGGTAGCAATTGTTTTTTCTGCAGTTCTAATTATCCTCTGAAGTCTGTGTTTGTCTTGTTTGGTTGCAGAGTTGAAGTTTCCTCTGTAGAACTGAACCAGCAGTCCTTGGGTAGTTTGAGCTTTCTGAGTTGGCGCAGAAAGAACATTCTTTGTTGTGCTTTTTTGATGATGTTTTTGATGTTAGGTGTCCATTTTAAGTCCTCAGATATGATAGAACCTAGAAACCTGAAGGACTCTACTGTTGATACTGTGTTGTCTAGTATTGTAAGAGGTGGTAGTATAGGAGGCTTTCTCCTAAAATCTACCACCATTTCTACAGTTTTGAGTGTATTTAGTTCAAGATTGTTCTGGTTGCACCACAAGTTGGTCAACCTCCTGTCTGTATGCAGATTCATTGTTGTTTCAAATGAGACCAATCACTGTTGTATCACCTGCAAACTTCAGTACTTTAACAGAGGGATCTTTTGAGATGCAGTAATTGGTATATAGGAAGAGAACTGGAGAGAGCACACAACCCTGGGGGCTCCTGTGTTAATTGTACAGGTATCTGATGTGATTTTGCCTATCTTCACCTGCTGCTTCCTATCTGTTAGGAAGCTTATGATCTATTTACAAGTGTGGTCAGGTACAACTAGCTGATTTAGTTTAGTTAGAAGAATATCTGGAATGATGGTACTGAATGCTAAGCTGAAGTCTACAAAGAGGACCCTTGCATTGGTCTTTGGAGATTCAAGATGTTGTAGGATGTAGTGAAGAGTCATATTAACAGCATCATCTGTCGATCTATTTGCTCGGTAGGCAAATTGCAAGGGGTCTAACAGCGGATCCGTGATGGTTTTCAGGTGAATTAGCACCAGCCTTTCAAAAGTCTTCATGACTACAGATGTTAGAAAAACCAGTCTGAAGTCATTCAGTTCCTTGATGAAGGGTTTCTTTGGCACTGGGATGCTAGTAGAGCATTTGAAGCAAGAAGGAAAATAGCACATCTCTAGAGATTTATTAAAGATGGGGGTGAAGTTGGGGGACAGTTGGTCAGCACAAGTTTTTAAGCAAGAAGGAGTTATCTTGCCTGGGCGTGGTGCTTTTCCTGGCTTTTGTCTGCGAAATAGACCTCATTATCTGTAATCACCAGAGGTGGTGGGCCCAATGGGATGGGGTAGCTTGTAGGAGGCTTGGCTGATGTTGGTGTGTCTGAGATGGGGATTGTGGAGATGGGTGGCAGCAGTTTTCTCTCAAACCTACAGTTGTTGATTTCCTTCAGCATGGGATGGAGGTTTGCTGTAACCAGTGATATTTTTAAGAGTTTTCCACATGTTTGCTGACTGAGAACTGATCCCTTAGCTTTTCAGAATAGCTTCTTTTTGCTGCTCTGATCTCCCTTGTTAATATGTTTCTGGCCTGATTGTACAGCATTCTATCGCTTTTTCTGTATGCTTCCTCTTTGGTACGATATAGTTGCTCAAGTTTAGCTGTGAACCAAGGTTTATTATTACTGTATATTCTTAGGTTTCTGGTCGGCCCACATAGGTCTTCACAAAAACTGACATATGATGTTATAGTATATGTGAGTTCATCCAAGTCTACAGCAGTATCTTTGAACACATTCCAATCAGTGCAGTCAAGGGAAGCCTGTAGCTTTAGCTTTGCCTCCTCAGTCCAAGTCTTCAATGATTTAATTGTTGGTTTCATGGTTTTAAGTCTTTGTCTGTAAGCAGGTAAAACCAAGCATGGCAAAGAAACAACTTTACATGATGATGGAAACTTCTAGTTCTTCTTTTTTTAAGCTGTTCATACAATACTGTGTGAAATGCTTTCATCATTGCATTCAGTAAGTGTTGAACAAGGACCAAGGCTGGCCAGAGCAGGAAGAGAAGGGTAAGGGAGAGAGGGAGGTAGAGGGAGCGAAAAGAGAAGGAAATAATTTTGAGAGCAGTTGTTGCTAGGTTTCCTGTCAAGCTATTGTGCTCTGTGGGTGTTCACATGCATGCTACTGTTTTGGTCTCCAAATATTAAGATATGGTATGTATATGTAAGTTTTAATGTGTTGCTCTTTGTTTTTCTGCTGTTTTCACCATTTAATTTTGCTTGACTTTTCTCAGCTGAATATTCTGTTATTAATCTTGATTCTAAGATATTTTATCATTCATTTTTATAATGACTAGTTGATGGCAACTTAAAAGGCTGGAAAGGAAAGGTGACCTATATTTTCAATATACAAGAATCATCTTTTCATACTTAAAAAAAATGAAGTTGTACCTGGTGCAACCCTGTGCTGAACCCTGCAGAACCCGTCAGGCTGTTAGGTCCCTGGTAAATCCCTGAGGTACCTATGCCAAAAAAAAAAAAAAAAAAAAAAAGAGGAAAAAAAAGCAAAATAAATGAGAAGATTAATTATTAGGCTCAATTTAAATAGATTTGATGGACCATCTGACAAACAGAAGGAAAAATTTTAGATCAGGATTTGTGGCCAGGGGTTAAAGTTAAACCTTGGAAAGCCAGAGAATCCCTGGTGAATGAGATGTTTTTGTAAAATTGGTTTGGTTCATTGTTATTTTTTATTTGAAATTATGTTCAGCCTTTTTGTAGGGCTTATATTGTAATTTCCATGTATAACCTATCTCAAAAGAATAAAAAACTGTACATATAATTTTTGCAATACTGACCAGAAAGCAATTCCAATTTCCCAGAAAAGAGATTGAGAGATCCCTTTCAGCCCTAGGGTTACAGTATATGCCACTCACCTGTTTCTGATCTTAAGAATCTGCTGCTATAAACCTCATCATAAAAAGAGCAGACTGAGCCCAGGAGTGTCCACTCTAGCTAGCATTATTTTAGAATTCAGATCTTTCCCGCTATCTAAAGGTAAAGGTAAAGGTTCCCCTCACACATACAGTATGTGCTAGTCCTTCCTGACTCTAGGGGGCGGTGCTCATCTCCGTTTCAAAGCTGACGAGCCAGCACTGTCCGAAGACATCTCCGTGGTCATGTGGCTGGCATGACTACACGCTAAAGGCACATGGAACACTGTTACTTTCTCACCAAGAGAAAGTAGTCCTTAGGTTTTCTACTTGCATTTTTTATGTGCTTTCGAACTGTTAGATTGGCAGAAGTTGGGACAAGTAATGGGAGCTCACCCCGTTACGTGGCACTAGGGATTCAAACCGCTCAACTGACGACCTTTCGATCGACAAGCTCAGCGTCTTAGCCACTGAGCCATTGCGTCCCTCCTTCCACTATCTATTACTTTTAAAAAAGCAAGTGGAGAAGCTAGGGGTTTCAGGATATAATAAACATTTATTTGTCTCTTAGATATGGCTAACTTAATTACCTAAGATACAGTATGAGGCAAGGTGATCTCAAGACCCATCCAGAACTTCAGTCATTTGAATCTTAATTATTTGAAACTTATATGAGGATTTCCTGCATCTCTCCTACGTAGCTTCGAAACTCTTCATGAAAACAGTCGGCTGATCTCAGAAATAGGCAATCATTTTTCGGATGGGGAGTGGCAAATTATGGGATGATTCTCAGAGGATATGCCTTTGTTGCTGCCTACAATATGAAGAATTTGATTTGTACGTAAGTAATGAAAGGGATGTTCTATATCCCCATGGCAGGTTTGTTTCTCTGCATAGTTATTCTAAAATTCAGCCACTTCAACATTTTGTCGGTGCCTCTTATTAAAAATGTATAGGAGTGAACAAAATTAGAACTCATAATTGTAATGTGTACAAGAAACACATTGATGACTTTTACACGTTATACTTTATTACTAAGGCAAGGCTTCCTACTGTTCCTGAATTTTGTTCTGGATCCCTGGCTGTGCACTGAGCATGAATTAGCTGTTGTTTCTGTTTTTATTTTGGGTAACTAGAACTCAAACAATCAATCCCCTGATGCAGTTTTCTTTTAATTGCAGAGACAGCCAGCTCTTTTAACCATAGGAGAGAATCAATGCATGGGACCAGTGAAGTATTCTCTTAGCTAAAGTGCAGGAACAAATACTTCTCGGTGTCTCCATGCTGGGTGATTTTTTTTTGGAATATCCGTTTGTTTGTTTTTATTTTAAGACCCCATATTAAGCAGGAGAATGGACAGCTGTACAAACTGCAGCTCACCAAATACAGACAGTCACAAAAGCACATGCAGGGAGAAATAAATCTCAGCCCCCCCCCCAAATCAAACCACTCAAGGAAGAGAATCTGTTTCCAGAACTAATTTGCCATCACATCTGGCTTTTAAAAACTTTTTTTTTGACAAGGGCATGGGGTGGATTAAAAGCAGAAGCTGGGTCAAGATCGTTCAATATGGAATCCGCCTTAGGGTGGAAGCCTAAGCCATTATCTCCTCCAAAAGAAGAAATTCTTGAATTTCTTATTCATGTCCAGGAGATTCTTATTCATGTCCAGGATATCTTATTCATGTTCAGGAGATTCTTATTCATGTCCAGGAGATAAATCATAGACATTATCTATCTGTGAACAACTTTGAATTTCCAAACCCTTCTGAAAACAAATAAGCAAGCAAGCAAGCAAACAAAATACTGTCTGAGCATGCTCAGCACCTGAAAGAAAATTCTTGTATATTCAGAGAGCTGGACTAGATGAACTAAAGACAATACAGTACAATACAATACAGTTGAGGCAGTATTTGGTTCCCCCAGAAAAAAAAATCAGGTAAAATCTTTCCCTATCAATGAAAAAGAGAATTTTTTTACAGCAGCTATCCTAGTTTTAGTTGAAGAACAAAGAATCCCTTTATCCAATGCAGAACTAAGTAATGTATAACAGTAGAGAGCAAGTTTAAGTAGAGTGGGCAATGGCTTCCAATCAGGGGTGAAATGCTCCCGGTTCGGACTGGATCTCTTGATCCGGTAGCAATGGCGGCGGGTGGTTTGGAGAACCGGTAGCAAAAATCCCTGCCCCGCCCACCCCCCATGCCCAGCTGACCTGCGCGATCATCAGAGGCTTTCTTTTACTTTTAAAAGCAATGCTTTTAAAAGTAAAAAAAAAGATTGCATGCCACAGCTGATCACCCCCCTCACGCGCTGTTCTACTTACCACATGCCTCCTTTTGGCGTGCACTACGCGTGCGCACCTCACATTGGGTGCATGGTGCACACTGTGCATGCGCAGCCAGCAAACCGGTAGTAAACCAATTCAGATTTCACCACTGCTTCCAATGAGATGGGAAAGAAACAGGAGGTGAGGGTCTATGGTGGATTAAATGTCTCTGCAAGTGTCTCCATAAGTGGGGATAGCACCACAGCAAAGATCAGTGGCCGGGTGGCAGGTTCTGGCTAACAAAATTCTTTCCAGAAAAGGAGAGTTAGGAAATTGCCCGCTTGTGCTCTGGATAGTTACTCCTCATGAGGAAACCACAGGAATTGAGTTTTTGTCTGTAGTTGGGAGGTGATTGGCTTGTGGGCTGAGATTAGGAGATTAAATTAGATCAAGGAGCCTGAATAGCTCAACAGGCAGAGCTCTGTAATTTAACACCAGCTGTCTGCAATTAAAGTAAGATCGAATCCCGCCAGGCTCAAGGTTGACTCAGCCTTCCATCCTTTCTAAGGTAGGTAAATTGAGGACCCAGTTTGTAGGGGCAATAAGCTGACTTTGTATAAATATACAAAAGTATGAAGGCTATTGTTTAACGCATTGTAAGCCGCTCTGAGTCTCCGGAGAAGGGCGGCATATAAATCAAATTAAATAAATAAATAAAAAATTATATCACACACTAAAACTCTGTCTAGCCTTATAGATATATAATTCATAAAGGCCTCACTTCCTTAAACATTTTTGGACACAATTCATTTACAAATTATGAGAGATCTTCCAAACAGCAGGAAAGAACAGAGGCACTTGATGATGAGAACTTGCACAACCATTGAACTATCAGGGCCAGAACTGAGGTGGCTCCTGAAATGCTTTCAGAGCTTGCCTTGACTAAATCCACATCCCTTGGATTTACAACAATGATTTACATACTAAAATACAGGAAGCGTGCTAGTACAAAGTCAGTACTGTCTGCATTCAAAATGTTTCCTATTTGTCTTTTAAAGCCTACACCAGACTTTATTTCCTATGGGAATTTTCAAAACTAATACAAATGATAAACAGGCAAAACAGACCAGCTGGAGAAAAGTACAACTTATTATTTTCTGTTGCTTTTATTATGGGTTGACCTAATATTGTTCTGATTTACTTATTTATCATATTGCATCTATTCAGCCCACCAAGGTGGAAAGGCAGGCCATGTTATGTGGGTCCCATAGATTAGGGACTGTTCCATCTGGTGGAACCACAAAAAATGGCCTTCTTGGTAGTGGCCTCTCCATTATGGAACATGATTCCCCCTCGAAGTATGGTTGGTTCTCTCCCCCCACCGCCTGCTGCTGCTTTTCTGAAAAGCCCCAAGAATATATATATTCTTTTGAGATCAGCCATCAGAATTATGTGTGTATAGGTATATACACACACCCATACACATACCCATACCCATACTACCCATACATATACATATGCTATAGATAGATAGATAGATAGATAGATAGATAGATAGATATGATAAGATATAGATGATAGATAGACAAACAGACAAACAGACAGACAATGATCGATCGATCAATAGATACATAGATAGATGATAGATACAGATAGATAGATAGATAGATAGATAGATAGATAGATAGATAGATAGATATTATAATGGATTTTAAAACCTTTACAATGTTGTAAGATGCATAGAATCACTTGTGTGTGAGTTAGTGTGTGAGTTATATAAATTTGTTTAATGAATAAGTAATGAATAAACAGAAACACTTTTTCCAAATCACAGGAAGTAGTATTTCCTTCTCTTTTGCATTCATTAGACTGCACTTTCACCCTTGTGCCTAGTTCTGGCACTACATTTTGAAATATATTCAGGCAAACTGCAAAAGAAAGAAGAGCAATGATGGAAAACACAAGACCGGAAGAGAAATAGAAAAAAAAACCTGAGGTTTTTCTTTATTTTCTATCATCCCAGAATGTGGGAATCATGGACTTAAGTTACAGAAAGACAGATTTTGTTGTCAGAATGTTAAAAAAAAAACAACACCTTTCTAACTGCAGCAACATAGGAAACCATGTTTAAAACAAAGTATAGCTTAGCATGGTATCTGAATAACCTAAACGAAAATAGAAATATGTCTTTCCACTGCCAGTTTTTTTCTTTCCAGAAATTGCCCTTGATTGTTGCTTCTCCATCTTTTTGGCCCAGCTGTTCTTAATAATTATGCAAACTTCAGAACATTTATATTTTTCAGAGCAGTTCCTTAAATTATTGA